GAAGGGAAAGAATTCCGGCGCCTTAATCCCGGGGTTAAATCCCTTCGGAACGCCGAGGGAAAGGGCAAAGCCTTGGGAGGGGGGGCGGGGTGGGAGGGATCGATCCCGCTCCGATCCCACCGATCCCACCGCGGGTGAGCCCGCCGGGATCGAGCCGTCGGGAAAGGATCCCCCCGGAGCCGCCGAGGCCGCGCCGGGAATGCCGATGGAAAAACTGGACCCCCGACCCCTCAACTGCTCCGTGAATCCACCCCGAAAATTCCCGAAACGGCCCCGAATTTTGGGACCTGGGGACATCGGGGTCCCCCTGAGGGTCCCTTGGGGACATCGGGGTCCCCTCAAGGGTCTTCAGGGGACAGCGGGGTCCCCTTGAGGGTCCCAGGGGGACAAATCCTCCCCTTGGGGACATCGGGGTCCCCCTGAGGGTCCCTTGGGGACATCGGGGTCCCCTCAAGGGTCTTCAGGGGACATCGGGGTCCCCTTGAGGGTCCCAGGGGGACAAATCCTCCCCTTGGGGACATTGGGGTCCCCTTGAGGGTCCCTTGGGGACATCGGGGTCCCCTCAAGGGTCTTCAGGGGACATCGGGGTCCCCTTGAGGGTCCCAGAGGGACAAATCCTTCCCCTGGGGACATCGGGGTCCCCCTGAGGGTCCCTTGGGGACATTGGGGTCCCCTTGAGGATCCCAGGGAGACAAATCCTCCCCTTGGGGACATCGGGGTCCCCTTGAGGATCTCAGGAGAACAAATCCTCCCCTTGGGGACATCGGGGTCCCCCTGAGGGTCCCAGAGGGATATTGGGGTCCCATTCAGGGTCCCTTGGGGACATTGGGGTCCCCCTGAGGGTCCCTTGGGGACATTGGGGTCCCATTTAGGGTCCCTTGGGGACATCGGGGTCCCCCTGAGGGTCTTCAGGGGACATCGGGGTCCCCTTGAAGGTCCCAGAGGGACAAATCCTCCTGTTTCCCCCCCCTCTGGGAATTTGGGGTCCCGGGTTCTCCGGGGGAATTTCCCTTTCAAATTTCTTTCCGACGGCCTCGAAACAAAGAACCCAAACCCGCCCGAGCTGATCTTTTATTTATCGGGATTGACGGGAATCCAGGTCAGAGCCGGGAGCAAGGACAGGCTCCGGGGGGGCGGGAAAAGGGCTGGAATGGGGGGGGACACCCTGGGGAGGGGGCAGCAGAGACCCCCTGGGGGACCCCCATGTCCCCAAGGGACCCTGAATGGGACCCCGATGTCCCCAAGGGACCCTAAATGGGACCCCAATGTCCCCAAGGGACCCTCAGGGGGACCCCAATGTCCCCAAGGGGAGGATTTGTCCCCCTGGGACCCTCAGTGGGACCCCAATGTCTCCAAAGGACCCTCAGGGGGACCCCGATGTCCCCAAAGGACCCTAAATGGGACCCCGATGTCCCCAAGGGGAGGATTTGTCCCCCTGGGACCCTCAGTGGGACCCCAATGTCTCCAAAGGACCCTCAGGGGGACCCCGATGTCCCCAAAGGACCCTAAATGGGACCCCGATGTCCCCAAGGGGAGGATTTGTCTCCCTGGGACCCTCAGTGGGACCCCAATGTCTCCAAAGGACCCTCAGGGGGACCCCGATGTCCCCTGAAGACCCCTAAGGGG